AATCAACAAATAGCATGGGTTAAAATTTTGTGTTCCCTCCTGTTAATTTTTGTGTTCCCAGAACGGTCCCACCTGTTCCTGTTTATATACATATATACTTCTGCTATGTTGCGCAGAGCATTACTATATATTACTATCATTGAATATTCGAATGTTCGAATATTCATATTAATATTTAATACGTGTAACCGAATATTCATATCGAATATTCGTTAATATAAAATTTTTTAACAATAAAATAAATTAAATAAAATTGGTAAATTAATTTTTCTAATCAGGATGCTATTTTTATTTTTTTTTGATGTTCTTTAAGGAGTTTTTCTCCGCAAGACTTGTCATTATTTGCTATGATGATATTACATGGCCATTCTAGATTTCTTTAAATATAGCAGCTCTTAAAAAAAAATTTTTTCTTACAATTACTATTCTTAAAAAACTTTTTTTTAGAACACAATGAATAAAAATTTAGTTCTCAAAATGCCAAATAATAGAAAAAGACATATTGATTATAAAGATAATATTTCACCTAATATAAATGATGGAAAGCCGAAAAAAAGATGTATTGATGATAAAGATGATAATATTACAACAATGGACACAATAAAAAATGTTTCCCTGTTTGCACTGTCCACAGGAGATGCCTTTACAAATTATGTACCAATACTTAAAACAATCTGTGATTTATGTGAAACAATTATAAGACTTTATGATACTATTAAAGAAAATAAGACAATTTCTATAGCATTAATTCATAGAGTTGAATTGGCACATGTAGCCATTCAAGAGGATTCAAGAAAAGACAACAAATGGGACAGAACAATAATGGACCTATACACTTGACACATGAAGATGGGTATGATGTTAATGATCAAGGTCTTAAGACTGGCTTATTATCATCTACAGAGTATCAAAATTATAATAATCAACATTTGATGGGAAAAGAAGGAGATTCAACATCGATAAGGTCATTCGAATCATTGTCAACAGATATTGGACCGCAACAACAGTATTATGATTATACGGCCAATATCGGAATTGCGACGGGTGGTGAGGAAGTAGGTATGGAAACATCTGAATATCCACCTATGCGACAACAGCCACAATTACAGCAACAATATGGAGCAGCAATAACAGGTCATCCGCTAATACCAATAGAACAACAGCAATTTTATCAGCAAAGTCAAAATACATTATATGAGGATGACAATAATGGAAATATTACTAACAACAATAATAACATCTATCCAAGATTTTAAATTAATTATTATTAATTGATAAAAAAAAAAAGACATTGACATTGGACTTTTAATTTTAGATTAATTAATTATTAATTTTAATATAATAGAATAGAATAGATTGTGTTGGTTTGAGTTGGTTTTGTTTATAATTTATATTTTATATATTTTTTTTGTATTTATTTTGATTTTTGAGGGATGATGGATGATAATAATAAATATTATTAATAAAGTAAAAATTTTAATTTAACATTTTAATTTATAATAATTTTAATATCATTTTGTTCCTTCATGTGAATAATTTAATTTAGTTTTTTAATCTATCCATGGAAAAATCGCTCACTCGCTGATGGAGATGATGGAGATGGCGATGATGATGATGATGATGATGATGATGATAATGATGATGATAATGAAAGAATAATCATCATTAAATCAAATGTTGTAAATATTTAATTAATTATTTTTTTTAAAATAAATAACTTCCAAATTTAAAAATCAATTAAAATACAAAGAGAACCAATAAGAATTTAAATAAAGTCGTCAATTATGCCAAAAGCAAAAGGCAGATGATAATAGTGCCATGTCCAACCACGCAGAATTTTGTTTTTTACCAACTAAAACCACATGTCTTATATTACTGCTATTATTATAATTATTTATGCATACAAATAAATACACCAATCAATTGTCCAACAATGATTTACTAATTATATTAACTAATGGGCTATAAATATGCTAACTGTTTACACTACCAGCTATTAATATACTGCATAATCAATAGACTATTTACTATTAAAATATAATTAAATCGCCGAATTAAAAATTTGAAATCTCCGTTTTTCCGTTTTTTATTATTTAAGAGAATAACACAAAGCAACACATTTTATTTGTGGTGTAGTGTGGAAGTGTATGTGAAAAATGCGTGTCTGATTAAGGGAATGAATAATATTAAAATTTTTGATATCAAACTATCAACACTTGACCCCTGAAACATCATCACCATTGCCATTATAATAATTCAAATCAATCAAATTCTTTCAGTTTTTTTTTTTTTGTTTTATTTTTCATGAGATAATAAATAATAATAAATTTTTTTTCCATTATTTCCATTTTTATCACTATCATTATTATATATTTTTTTTTCATATATACTTATATTGTTACACAGAACTAAGCAACATAAAGAAGTATTAGATTTAAAACATTTATTTATTTTTTATATAATAATCAACCTTCAAATTTCCATTTTTTTTTTATTTATTCTTCACTTTTCACTTCCTTGCAAAAAAATATTTCAAATATTTCAAATTAACTCATAATTTATTAATTTTATTAACTACTAGTTAGTTAATTAATTAAAATTTTGGTTTTTTTCTCTTTCTCTCTCTCTGTACAAGAAGAAACTTCAAAAAAAAAAAAAAGTTTAAAAAATTTTATTATTATTTATATAATTAATATAAAATTTTATTATAATGGATGCACTTTATTTCAAAGTAGACCAACTAAGATCTTTATGGGTTGAGTATCGTGCTGTAAACGAAACTGGTAATGGTAATAACGATTATGGTGATCAGTCAGAATGGGCCAGAGGAAAATTACAGGTTTTTGCATTTATTTTAAATAAACAATAATGCAACGATGAAAGTTTTTTTTTTATAAATTTATTTATTTTCTCTTTTTATTAAAAAAAAAAAAGACGATATTAACGGAACTTGATAAACTTATACAAGAACAAGTTTTATGGAAATCAACTTTATCTGCTGAAATAGAGGATTTATTGGTTTGTACTTGTTTAAACCATTACTCGTTCATCCATTCATTATATATCATTACTATAGATTTATCGATATGTAGATATTAATCTCTATGGCAATTTCTTTATTTATGATAATAGATAGAAATAGAGGAATATAGTCAATTGTTTGGTCGTAATGTAGACACGATAATATCACAAGCTGCTTTATTGCATGTTGAAATAAATAATTTAACGCGTGATAAATTATCAAGTATACGAAATGAGTTAAAAGAGGAAGCTGATTTGACAAGGGAGAATATTAAGAAATGGTTGACAAGTCTTCGAACATTTGTTAAAGAGTTAGATTCTGATTATGTCGTTCCGTCTGACGAGGTATGTTTTAAAAGGAAGGTGGACGAGAGAATGTGATAAATAAGAATAAAGAAGGTGATAATTGACTAATGATTAATGATATTTTTATTTTTTTAGGTGTTTGAGAGTAATTTGGGTACAGCTGTAGTTCGTCCGGTTTGTATATATATTTTATTTAAATCCTGTTTTTAAACATATATTCATTCATAATTCATTAATATATATATATATACATATATATTATTTTGATTTATAGATATGGTGCAAGTATGATGAATATAGCCGTGTTGTGGTAAAGTATTTTTTACAATAATGCATCTTATTAACAATTAATAGATTATTTACCATTCGTCATATCATATCTTATTGTAATTGTTAGCTTGGTCTTCGAAACGAATTTGAAGAATCATCGATTCAACTTCATTATTATTGGGACACTCTTTGCTACAAACCAAAAGATGAAATAGATAAGGCTTTATCACAATTATTTGTTGATAAACCAAATCCAAAGGACATTTTTGAAGCGTTACAAGAAACGCTAAAAAATAAGAACAATAATAGTAGCAATGATAATAATAGTCTTAGTAGTAATAGTCTTACAAATAGTAATAATAGCGATATTATAAATAATGATGCCGATAAATTAGAACAAGGCCAAGTTATAAATCTGGATCTGGAATTATGCCATTACATTTATTATACTGCACAGCTCCCGTCCGGGCTAAAATTGACATCGGATCATTTAGAAATTCTAAAAAAGAAAATCCTCGGCTTGGAAAAAAGTTACACAGAACGTAAACAGAAATTGATGATGTTGAAGAAAACTATACATAACTTCTATGAAGAATTGGATATTCCGAAAGAGAAAAGATTGGAATTTAGTGATTCGTTGGACGAAGAGAATATCGATAAATTATCAAAAGAATATGAAAGCCTTCGTGAAATTATGAGACAACGAATTCAAAAGGCTATCGACGAGGTTTATTATGAATTATTTGTTTTATTTAATGAGGGTTTATTGTTATTGTTGTTGTTTCTGTTGTTGTTCCTTTTATTAACGATATATTTTATTGATGATATATTTATATTGATGTAATAACGAAATGTAGTATACAGTACAATTGGGTGAATTATGGGATAAATGTTTGGTTCCTCAATATGAACGTGATGAATTCTTTTCAAATTTACATTCATGTAAGTTAAACATATAGTTTTTTTTAGGAAAATCATTTTAGTTTGTTTGTTTGTTTATTTGTTTATAACTGATCAATCACACTTACGTTCGCTCAACCTCTCGAAAATTTTAGTGAATTCTGCTGAAGAAGTATACGAATTACTCGCGCAAGAAATTGATCGTCTTCAAGATCTTTATGCTAAATGTGCCAAGATATATAGATGGATGTTAGAAAGACGTGCTTTAATCGAGGTTAGGATTAATAAATATTATGTCAATTAAACCAAAACCGCAAATACATTAACGTTAATCGCTAATTAATCAATTGATGTGTTTCTTTACTCTCTTTCCTCTCATTTATCACCCTCGCCTCATTCATCGCCTCCAGAAAATGATTGAATTTGAGAAAAAGGCTTCTGACCCACGTCGTCTATTCCAAAGTTCATTTCGATTATTGGAAGAAGAAAAATGGAGAAAAACATGTTGGCCCAATTTGGTTAAGATTGAAGATCAACTAATCAATGCTTGTGTTGCTTATGAAGAATCTGAACGTAAACCTTTTATGCATGAAAGCAAACGTTACTTGGACACTTTGGTAAATAAAAGAATATCGGAATTTTTATTTAAAGAAAATTTAGTAATTATGTATTTTTGTTTTTTTTTTTTTTTTTTATTCATTCCATCTTCCCATAATTCAATTTTATAGCAATCTGAAATTTCTGAGCGTATTGTAAATCAAATGTTCTTCGGTTTTGAACAATTTGGCTCTAAAAATACAAAAAACGCTAACAATAATGATGATGAAAACAGCAATAAATCAAAAAATGCTTCAAAACGTAAAGATAGCCAAAAGGCAATGCCAAGCAGACCATCTTCACCTACCAACGAAAATAAAAGAAATAGCAGATTATTTGCTAAAGCTCCATCAGCTAGTCGTTCAGTTTCACCTTCAAATGGTAATAGTAATGGAAGATCTCCACAATCACGTAGAAACAGCCAATATATCCCTAGTAGATCTGTATCACCCACAGGTCTTAACAATAATGGAACTAAATCAAGAAGAAATAGTCAAGCTATTAGTCAAGCAATTACTCAAGCCATGATGGGTGGCAATAGTAGAGCACCAAGTAGAGCGCCAAGTAGAGCACCAAGTAGAGCACCAAGTAGGACACCAAGTCGGGCACCAAGCAGAGCTGTTTCGCCTGTACGTTCTAATTCTAACATTTCACGAAACGTATCACCCGTTAGACCTAATCATAGGAGTAATTCAGAAACATCTCCCTCGTCATCAACGAAAAAGCGTAATAGTTTATTTGTTAAAAATTCCATTGATCCATTATCGCATCTCAACTCGAGTAACAAAGCTTCGTCAAAGTCTCCCAGATCTCCACGATCTTCTTCATTCTCTAATAATAATAACAACAACAACAACAACAACAGCAACAACAATATATTGTCATCATCACCATCATCAACTGACCAAAACAATTCACTCTTTTTAGAAAATAATGGTAATAATAATGATGGTGATGATTCTAATAATACTAAACGTAGTAATAGTATTTCTAGTACATCTAGTGAATCGTCATCATCGATATCTTCAGTTGCAACTCCAACTATGTTAGAACCATCATCATCTCCTTATATTGTTAATGGTTTATTAAGTGTACCTTCATCATCATCACCATCGCCTCCTAATTCATCATCATCACCGTCTGCTACAAAAACAAAATTAAAAATTGAAATAAATGGCAACAATAAAAACAATGGTAATAAAAATAATCCATCTACTAAATCTACAAAAAGTAGCATTCCTCCTTCTCCATCAATAGTATTATCATCATCAAAAAAGCCTTTGTCTTCTGCTTCCACTACTCCTTCAAATTCTTCATCTTTACCAACACCTATAACTAGGCGTACTAATTCTGCACCGGTTAGGCCAAGACCAAAAAGCATAGTAAATGGCAATGTTTCTAGTTTCTCTAACGAACCATCATCGATGTTAAAAAGACAAGTTAATAAAAGAATGTCGATGATTGTTGAAAGCAGTAGATAATTTATAATAGACAAATAATGACATAATGACATATAGATTAATGAAGATAGATATTGGATTTATTCATTAAAAAAATATTTAGAAACATAATTATGAAGAATATAAGATGTTAGAATTAAATCAATAGAGCAAAAAAAAAATTTTTCGTAACAAAATTAGAAAAAAATGACACTTGTTTGGAGAGAATGTATATGAGAGAGAGAAAAAAGGAAGGATTAATTAATGATTGTAATTTCCCCTTGTATTTTTTATTTTATTTTATTTGGGTGGGTTTTTTGTTGATAATAATAATATTATTATTAGGACGATAGTTGTGTTATGGTTTTAGTAAGAATGAAAAAACATTCTGAAAAAACTTTTCTTTATTTTTCTTGGAAATTTGTATATTTTTTTTTTATTATAGAGACAATTTTGGACAATTTACTTTTTAATATATACATTCAAATTTTTTTTTAATTTTGGATGTAATGGACAATTTATTTTTTTCTTTTGTTTTGTTGCCCATCCACTTTACTTTTTTCATTTCGCCATCATTTTTACCATTATCTTTGCGATTAGATTATGATTTATTCCACATTCGCAAACTCGTGCATTCACATGCATCATTTAGAATCTTTACTATAGATTCTATATTCACATTCTTTTTCAATTTATCCCGTTAATTATCATCTAATCACTTTTATCCAATTAATTTACTTGAATTAATCATCAAAACTCCTTGTAAATTCACACCCCCTTTAATTTTTACCTTATTTATATATATACACAATAATAATAATTTCTTTATTTCTTATTTGTGTATGATATTTATTTATTTCTTCGTATTAATCCATTAATTGGTTAATTTAGGATGTTAAATTTTAAATAAAACATTGTTGTAAAGTTTCGAAAGATGGTGCCGCGTGACTTATAATGATTTTGTACGCCTAATATATAAATTGAGAATAAAAAATTATTAAAAGGCAGTGTCGTTGGGTACTATCTTTCGGTACTTTGTGCGTATATTAACAGGATGTTTATTAAGATAAAATTGTGTTTGGTTTCTTTATTTTATAAAAATATGTTACTATGAAAAGTAACCCTATTTATTGTATGTCTTCCGAAATTACTGTATGTCATACAATAGATGCATTATAAAATTTACCAGTAGCTTAAATTCATGAAAGCGTTCATTACCAATTTCTTGGACTTTTTTTACTCAAAATAAAAATGTCGAAATTTCATAATGTTATCCAACTTCTTAAAATAACCTAGTAATCTAAGCTAGCATCAAAATATTGAAAGTCTTTTTCACCTTCATAACAGTGAGTTTTATCCAATTCTGTAACATTGGATTTTCCCCACAACATCTACAATGTGATTCCCACAACCTACGCTTGTCTTTCGAATAATAGTTTTTTAATCAATTCAAACTGCTATTCACATTAAAATTTTGTGCGCTTGGTAATCATGAAATTTAATTCAATGCTTTCGAATTATTAATTACATTCGCTTTCTCTATAACGGATCATTTGGCTTAGTATTAGTATTAGTAGTGAGTAGTAGTAGTATTAATAGTACTAATAATAGTAATCGGGGATTTTCCGTTATTATTATAGAACTTTTGTTATCAGACATTTTGATGAAGATGAATATTAAACGATAAAGTTGCATTTTGAAACAAACGAGTAGCATAAATATCTATAATATAAACGTTTATGTAGAATCCGTTTTCACAATAGAGACTTTCCTTATGATGTTTACCATTTTTTAGTGTTGAACGTGTGTTTATATCTTTTAATAAGTAAAATTTATAAATTTAGGTAGTTGCAATTTTACAATTTTACGAATTAGTCTTAATTGATATGGTTGAAGATTGCTAAAACAAATAAAGCAAGCAAACACCATTTAAATCAAACAATGAATGAATAAAGAAAGCAATAATTATCATTCACCATAACAAAAAACACCAGATATCCTATCTAATCAATAGTAATATTTTTATTTTAAAAAATTTATCCATACACTAAATAAATAATATTGATATTTGAAAAAAAAACTACCTTCCATTTTTGTCTATATGATTTATTTATTTGTTTAATTTGTTTGGTTTGTTTGGTTTGTTTGGTTTATTTGATTTATTTGATTTGTTTGGTTTGTTTGATTTGTTTGATTAGATTGATTTATTTGATTTATTATATTTGTTGCATTCTGACTAAATTGTTCATTATGATTTTGAAAAGCTACACATTTAAGATAATCTATGGCTTGATCATGATCCTTTTCGTAACCATGGGTTCCTTCAAAATAGTAAACACCTAAGAAGTGCAAAGCAACCTCATATCCATTTTCAGCTGCCAATTGTAAATATTTCTTAAATTCTTTAAGGTTTGCTACTTTATCTTTTTCGTAAATGAGGGATGCATAATTATATTGAGCCTTGGCTATACCATTGTCAGCTGCAATTTTATACAATTCAATTGCCTTTTCTTTGTCTTCTTGACTGGCTTTGCCTGTTTCTTCACCATGTTGTAAATAGTATGCTTTCCAATAAATTGCATTATAATTATTAAGTTCAGCATTTTCACAAAAACATTTCCATGCCAATTGATATTTTCCTCCTTTATAAGCTTTCACTCCTTCATCTAATGGTATGGGAGATTCAAATAAAGTTTTTTTAACAACTTTAAAATCTGAGTCCTTATCAATGTTATGATGTTGAATTTTGTCATTTGAAACTTCATCTTTAGCAATAAATTTAGCTACATATTTAGTATTTTCAAAACATTTCCATGATTCTGCCAATTCATTTTTTATTTCATCAAAAGATGGACGATTATGGGGTGAATGTTCCCAGGCTAACAATGAACAATAATTATAAATTATTAAAATGTTTATTGATGTAATGATTATTACTTTTGTTATCATTTACCTTTATTAATAATTTGAATTAAAACTTGCTGAATTTCAACATTGTGCACTCCAATTTTTATAGTTTCTCTTTGACCACTTTTGACATGTTCACCAATACTAATTGCATTCATTTCTTTATATGGAATTTGTTGATAAGTAAGCTCCCAAAGAAACATTCCAAAGCTGAATGAATGGACAAATTAATAATTAGTTAATGAAATTTTATTTAAAATCAAATCATTTCTGTTCATGTTTACCTAAACATTTCACAATCAAGATTATAAAGTTGAGTTCCTGATTCTATTTTTTCAGGAGCCAACCAAGGAATATAGTCATTTAAATTTGAAATTCTTGAAGTTTCACCAGATAGATTACGACTAAGTTCAAAATTTGAAACTTTTGCATTTCCATCCTCATCAATCTAAAAAGAGTACATGTTGGTTAATGTGTGCTAATGATGTTTTACAAAAAAAAATATAAAACCTACTAATATATTTTCACATTTAACATCATGATGTAAAATTTCACCATTATGCATAAAAAAAAGTCCTCTAATGACATCATATGAAATCTTTAATTTTGTAACCCAGTCAATGTAATGAGTATTGTACAAATCTTTTAAATTGCCCTTTTCAGCCCAGCCAAATATCAAAGCATTATGAGAATTTACATTGGAGATACCATAAAATTTAATGATATATTTACATTGAATAGCATTTAGTATTGCAAGTTTTGCTTGAAATTTTTTTGATTCAGAGGTATCATCATCATCCTTTGGATAATTTAAAATAGTTTTACATGCCACCTCAACTGTTTTTCTAAGCATTTTTTTAGCAACCCTCTTATTTGCACCTCTTACATCTGTATCCTTTCTGTAACTTAATTCTACATCATATATCCTTGGGATCAATTTTTGCCAATTTTATTATAGGATTAAGTTCCAAATTGTCAGATAACACACATTGATTTAATTTTTTTATTAAAACTGATCCATTATTCTGCATTGTTGTTTCCAAATTCTAAACAGAATATTTAGATATATATATATAAATATTTTTCAATGCATTTATAAAAAAATAAAAACAATTGATATCATTTACTTTATACCTCAAATTTTTCATATATTTTAGCAAAATATTTCTCCATGTTATTGCCTTGTTGTTTCATTGTATGATAACTGGAAAGAATCACATTGAATTGTAAATCTGCACATGCTCCTTCTAAATGTTTAACATGATCATCATAGCACTTTTTAATGTGGTCAGCATTAAAAAATTTTTTAAATCCTCCATAACTTGAAATATGTTTAATAAAATGTTTAATATTTTTCAAAACAGCTTCAAGCCTATTAAATGCTTTAAAATAACTTTCTTTACGGAAATTTTCTTCATTTGCTTCTTTTTCTCTTTCCATTTGTTTAATGGCTACATGTGCCAATTCAACTCTATGAATTAATGCTATAGAAATTGTCTTATTTTCTTTAATAGTATCATAAAGTCTTATAATTGTTTCACATAAATCACAGATTGTTTTAAGTATTGGTACATAATTTGTAAAGGCATCTCCTGTGGACAGTGCAAACAGGGAAACATTTTTTATTGTGTCCATTGTTGTAATATTATCATCTTTATCATCAATACATCTTTTTTTCGGCTTTCCATTTGTTATCATGTCTGTCATTTTAGTTGAAGGATCAATATTTCTTTTTTTATTTGACATTTTGAGAACTAAATTTTTATTCTTGTATTGTAAAAAAAATGTTTAAGAATAGTAATTGTAAGAATATGAAAAAAAAAGTTTTTTTAAGAACTGTATTAAAGGAATCTAAAATGGTTCATTTAGTATTATTATAATTAGTATTAGTGACAGGTCTTGCGGAAAAAAAACTCCGGAAAAAAAAGTATAATAATATTAATAATAATAATAATAATAATAATAATAATAATAATAATAATAATAATAATAATAATAATAATAATAATAATAATAAATAATAATAATATATTTGCAAGGATATTTTTATAAATATGAAAAAATTAATTGACATAAGATTTATCATAGAATCCAAATAAATGAATTCCATTTAACAAATTTATTATTTACCCGAAGATCGCCATCATCATCATCATCATCATCATCATCATCATCATCATCATCATTATCGTCATCATTATATTAATATTAATATATATATCAAATTAAATACCCGAACTAATCATTGTTGTTTCATGTGGTAGATCAGGCTCCCCGGATAATTGTTATTGAAGTAGGAAAATCTAATTATAATAGTAATTTAAAACTGTATTTCCTTTATGGAAAAGATATTTGTGATGTTACGCGAAATTTTCTGAAATTGAGTTATTGTATGAAAATATCTGGGGCTTAGTAGATCCGTAACACACGATATTCTTGGTATTAGTATTAAAAACTTCACTATTACTATATTAATATTAATATATAAGAAAAGATTTTCTTTTATGAATCAGCCGGTACTAATATAATTGTATTCATTACAACTATAACGTTAATTATTATAGGAATAAAAATAAACAAATGATTACCCCTATATCTATCTACTTCTCATGTAAAAAATCAATGAATTTTATTATATTTAATAAATCGTGATAGTAAATAGTAGGGTTTTAATAATAATATATAATAATAATAATAGAATTCATTTTTCCTTGGCGTCTTTTATCCTTTTATTTCAATACAATCAATTTCATTCTTAATTTTTACATCATGCCAGTCAGGTAGGTATTTAAAACACTTGTATGTAAATTTTGAATTGAAGTTTTAGTTTTCTTTGTTGAGACAAGGATTATCTATATTTAATTATATTATTATAAATTTATTATATATATATATATATATATTGCATTCAATAATAATTGCATTTTTCATCAACTCATCAACAAATAAAGGTCACCTGTGAGTTTTTATTATAAAGGCAGTTAAATGTGGTGCCATTTTTGTTATTGGCATTGGCTTCAATAACTGTGAAATTATTTGTTTATTTGGTGCTAACGATTGAATCAATCACATAAACAGTACTGTAGTAAATTTAAATGGTATTGTTTTAAAGAATTTATTTGAAATAATGTTATCAATTATACTTTAAAAATTTCTTTATTTCTTTTTTTGATAAAAATAAATTTAATCATTCGTTTATAATTCGAATAGATTTTATTCACAATCGCAACTGCGGAACAATTTTTTGCCATAACTATTATTATTATAGTTTGGTAAAATATGTAAAAACGGAGTCGTCATAAAAAATTTTTAGAACTGACGTGATAAAATCATGCTTTCTGTTTCAGGATTTTTTCAGGGGGGCACAAAATTTTTATGGTAATTCTCTAGAATATCGCATTTTTTATTTGTCGTTATCAAAAAAATAACACTGGCGAAAAATCTTTCGGTCCCACTCCATCATATTAATAATTATTTCACCATTTCGTTGATCCAAATCCTTCCAATATTCTTCCATTTCCTAAAATAATGATTGATTGATCTTGACACTTTGTTTGGCAAAACTTGACGCCGAGATGGCTTTTGAGAAAAATTTTCGGTTATAACTCCATTTATTGTAATCACCATTGAATAATATACCTTTAGAAGTCATGTCCAACACATCTAATCCTTTGTTTGGAGTTGTACGATGATT